GTGGCTCCCTTATCAAAGGACAGCAGCAATCACCTCGCTGTGTGTTGAACCTGGCGGAGCCCTACCAATATGCTTCCACACCGTTGGACCGGCCAATTGTTGTCTGAGGACTGAAGGAAATAAGGATAACCTGCAAGACCTGGCCATCCTATTCCCTAGTCCAGCATCCTATTCTCACAGGGGCCAACTGCCTCAAGAACATAGGAATCTGTGTCTGGACCTGGAGATTCTACAGGTGAAACTCGAAAAATTAGAATATTGTGGGAAAGTTCATTATTTCAGTAATTCAACTTAAAAGGTGAAACTAATATAGGAGATAAGACTGCCCACACTGCCAAAAGTACCAAAAGCTGGTTCAATGCCCATGGGATTACTGTGCTTGACTGGCCAGCAAACTCGCCTGACCTGAACCCCATTGAGAATCTATGGGGCATTGCCAAGAGAAAGATGAGAGACATGAGACCGAGCAATGCAGAAGAGCTGAAGCATCCTGGTCTTCCATAACACTTCAGCAGTGCCACAGGCTGATAGCATCCATGCCACGCTGCATTGGAGCAGTAATTGATGCAAAAGGGGCCCAAACCAAGTACTGAGTACATATGCATGCTTCTACTTCTCAGAGGTCCAATATTGCTCTATTTGCAATCCTTGTTTTGCTGATTTCATTTAATATTCTATTTTTCTGAGATTGTTAATTTGGGGTTTTCATTAACTGTACGCCATGATCACCACAATTATAACAAATAAAGCCTTGACATATTTTTGCATGCCATGAGTCTCATATATTAGTTTCACCTTTTAAGTTGAATTACTGAAATAAATGAACTTTTCCACGATAGTCTAATTTCTCGAGTTTCACCTGTATAAGGACATCAGGAGAGCCTGGCTGCAGGATGAGGCCAGAGGGCTCACCCAGTCCAGCGTCCTGAATGGCCCAAAGAGAAGGAACCGCATAGCAACCTCGTAGCAAAGAGCAGGAACCTCATAGCAAGCAAAGGCACTCTCTGCTCCTGCAATTTCCTGTAACTAATATTCAGAAGCAGCTCTGGAGTCTGAGCAGAGCCCTCTCCTAATCCATGGATTTGCCCAATCCTTTTCAAAAAGGAATCTAAATTGTTGGACACCACTGCCTGCTGCGGAAGTGAGTTCCACTGTTTAAGGACGGACCATGTGAAAAAGTCCTTCTGTCCCGATTCCTCCATCATTCGGCTTCTTGTGGTGCTGCTCCAAGCAAGCTGGAGTTCTTTCAGATGAGCTGCCTATATCAGGCTTCCTCAACCTCGGCCCGCCAGATGTTTCGAGACTACAATTCCCATCATCCCTGACCACTGGTCCTGCTAGCTAGGGATCATGGGAGTTGTAGTCCAAAAACATCTGGCGGGTTGAGGTTGAGGAAGCCTGGCTTATATAGACTGCTCCTCCTGCATCTGTTTGCAGGGAGGCTAGATGACACCAGCTAATTACTTAGCTAATTTCACTCCGCTTTGATTGCAAGGCTAGATTATATGTTGCAGCAAGGCAACATACATACCCCACCGCTGTGCAACTCCCCATCACTTTTCTTATCGCAAAAGCTCGGGACTTTGGATGGGGGAAATGAGTTTGTTGCGCAAGACCTCCTGCTCAGCTGCAACTGCACCACCGGTGCATGACTGACTCCCACCCCAAAATAGCGACAGTCTGGAAACGTCCCCTGGGAATGCACGTGAAAGGAATCCAGAAGAGTTCTCAGGAGGTTTGGTTCTTTGAGCTGCGACCTCTAGTGGAAGGAAGCTGCGGCACAGTCCTTCGTGTTTAGGGGTGTATATGGTCGCAATGGGGACACGGGTGGTGCTGTGGGTTAAACCAGAGCCTAGGGGTTGCCGATCAGAAGGTAGGCGGCTCGAATCCCCGCAATGGGGATGAGCTCCCGTTGCTCAGTCCCTGCTCCTGCCAACCTAGCAGTTCGAAAGCACGTCAAAGTGCAAGTAGATAAATAGGTACCGCTCCGGCGGGAAGGTAAACGGTGTTTCCGTGCGCTGCTCTGGTTCGCCAGAAGCAGCTTAGTCATGCTGGCCACATGACCCGGAAGCTGTGCGCCGGCTCCCTCGGCCAATAAAGCGAGATGAGCGCTGCAACCCCAGAGTCTGTCACAACTGGACCTAATGGTCAGGGGTCCCTTTACCTTTACAGAGCTATCACTGTCCCACGGGAGATAGTTTCATAGTTTAACCACGCGCTGCATTAAGGACTTTCTCACCCCTTAAATGTCAGGCAACCTGGTACCCACAAGAAAATTTTGTACAATTCCCCCAAGCAAGGACTGATGGAAGTTTCGGTCCAAAACATCTGGAGAACTCCTGGGGCGTGTGAAAATGATGTTTTAAGGCAACAACTTCTGAAATCGAAACTTCGGTGGCAGAAGAGGGAGTGGCAGAGACCCCCTTTGCATAATGTTAAATTTGAACCCTCTCAGGCTGTCAAGGAAGGTGTCAAGTTCTCCATGCACCGATTCCTCTTCTTTTAATTGAATTGCTGGCTTAATTATCAGTTTCCCTCCCTGTGATCGCACCGAGTGAGTTGTTCCGGAAACTTGTCAATCACGTTCTGTGTTATACACATAATTTCCCCCGAGGCACGTTGCGAAGAAACTTCTGCACCGCACAGTAACTAGTATAGTGTTTCCACCCTACTTTTCTTGCGCAAACCTCAAAAGAGGGGAGCGTTACCCTCCAAAACGGACCCTGGGAAGGCCGAGAGCAATTTCCTCCCAAGACCTGGCATGTTCTTATCATTGTTAAGTTGCAACATCTGCGCCAAACAGCTTAAGAACAAAAGTGGCCTATCCTGCAAGTTCCCCATACGAACGGATTGCATTTTAAGCCATAGCTCAGTGGCAGAGAATCTGCCTTGCCCCAGGTTCAATCCCCCAATGGCATCTCTGAGTACCGCTGGGCAACAACTCTGCCTGAAACCCCTGGAAAGCGGCTGCCAGTTAGTGCAGACAATCCTGAGGTATATGGACCAATGATCTGACTCAGTGCAAGGCAGCTTCCCACGCCAGCTAGTCTGGGAGCCTTTTTTGGCAGGGTGAATAGTAATAATAAATAATAATAATAATAATTTATACCCCACCCATCTGGCTGTGTTTCCCCAGCCACTCTGGGAGGCCACCATCAAGTGTTAAAAACAATACAGCATTAAATATTAAAAACTTCCCTAAACAGGGCTGGCTTCAGAAGTCTTTTAAAAATAAGATAGCTGCTTATTTCCTTGACATCTTATGGGAGGGCGTTCCACAGGACGGGCACCACTATCGAGACGGCCCTCTTTCTGGTTCCCTGTAACCTCACTTCTCGCAATGAGAGAACCGCCAGAAGGCCCTCGGTGCTGGATCTCTGTGTCTGGGCTGAATGATGGGGGTGGAGATGCTCCTTCAGGTATACTGGGCTGACGCCGTTTAGGGCTTTAAAGGTCAGCACCAACACTTTGAATTGTGCTCAGAAACGTACTGGGAGCCAATGCAGATCTTTCAGGACCAGTGTTATGTGGTCTCGGCGGCCGCTCCCAGTCACCAGTCTAGCTGCCGCATTCTGGATTAATTGCAGTTTCCAGGTCACCTTCAAAGGTAGCCCCACGTAGAGCACATTGCAGTAGTCCAAGCGGGAGATAACTAGAGCATGCACCACTCTGGCGAGACAGTCTGCGGGCAGGGAGGGTCTCAGCCTGCGTACCAGGTGGAGCTGGTAGACAGCCGCCTTGGACACAGAATTAACCTGCACCTCCATGGACAGCTGTGAGTCCAAAATGACTCCCAGGCTGCACACCTGGTCCTTCGGGGGCACAGTTACCCCATTCAGGACCAGGGAGTCCTCCACACCCACCCGCCTCCTGTCCCCCAAGAACAGTACTTCTGTCTTGTCAGGATTCAACCTCAATCTGTTAGCAGCTATCCATCCTCCAACCGCCTCCAGGCACTCACACAGGACATTCACAGTTTCCACTGGTTCTGATTTAAAAGAGAGGTAGAATGAATAAACGCCCCCCCAAAAAATACTCACATCCCTAAGCTGCAGGTTTTGGAGGTGAAGCAATTTTTCACTGAACACACCCCGAATAAAATCAGCATTAAGGATTAGGGTGCCAAAATGCTGAACCCCACAGCCAACCACCTATGACAGACTGCACATAGCCCCGAAGGCATTCATAGACAGTGTCTGGCACCCTGTTGGACCTTTGTAGGTGTGGTGGGAATTATAGTATATCTTTCATAAGACAGCCTACATGTGAAGAGATGAAAGGGAAAAAAAGTGTGAAAGGGTATTGGTAAAGAGAATCTGCTTACTCAGACTGTCTTTAAAGTGTGTCATGCAAATTTGCACAGGAAAAAGAGCCTTTGAGAGCAGACATCCTGTTCATCTTGCTGAATCAGGCATCCAGATCAGACAATACCCGCTTTTCCTCTGAGAATGTGACTTAATTTCTATACATGTGTAAATGTAAGGTGGTGGAATGCCTCTCTATAAGCCTGTGTGATGCATAGGCCTCTAGACTCCACTTTTGTGGGTTCCCCAGCAGCTGTTGTTGTTTTTTACCAAGTAAAGCTTAGAGATCACAACTGGTGTGGTTAATTAAGAGAAAGTCCACCACAGAAGCCTAAAAATAACCAGCCGGAGCCCTAAGGATGGGCAGGTGCTGGTAGAAGGAGCACTGTTATTTTATTTTTATTTTTTTAAAAAATAATATTAGGAGCATCTTCCCAGACTTTTATTTGCAAATCACATGGCTAAGTTGGGTGTCACAAAGAGGAATTGTAACAACAGTAATAAAAAAATAACGTTAAAACCCTGTTCCGTCTTCCAGGAGGCAATGGAGCTAAAAAAAAATATTAATAACATGAAGGATAAGCAAAGACCTTCAACACTGCCAAGTTGGTGGGCAGCCTCTTTTCACGCAGGGAAAGCAAAAACACGAAACACTGGAATGTTTGTCCGGAGAGAAAAGAAAGAAAACGATAAATCTGAAGAATCCGTGGAAGGAAGGAAGGCAGGCAGGAAGGAAGGAAGGAAGATCCTTTTCTTACGCTGGCCTGTGTTCGGGCTGTCTTGCCTAGGGGGGCATCGGCCCCCGCATGGGCCCCCGGGGCGGCACCATGGGTCTCTGGGTGGGCCGAGGGGGGAGAGGGATGCGCTGGTAGCCGTAGGGCGGGGGCCGAGGGGGCCCGTTGTATCCGTGGGGTGGCATCAAGGGAGGCGGCCCACGCATCCCGTGTGGGGGCATGGGGCCAGGATGACCTGGGGGAGGAAGAAGAGGAGGCATCTGGGTTAGACAACAACCCGGGAGAAACAAGGGACAGCACAGAACGAGCAAGTGCCCCCACCAAAAGAAGCAGGTAAGATTTAACCCCCCCCCCTTTGTCTGTATTCAAGATCTGTAGTTCCACTTCATGCAAATGAAAGAACAGGGCATAAGGAAGAAACTACCTGAAAAAGATTCACCTCCCAAAGGAGTTTCTGTACTAAACAAAAAGAGAAACTTGGAAGGATCCTTCCAAGCCTTGTCGGCACTTACCCATCGGCGATCCAAAGTGAGGGCCCCGGGGTGGCATGCCCATGGGCGGGGGCCAGGGTGGGGCATGCCTGGGGGAGGGCGGGGGGCGGCTGGCCTCCTGCCCCCGGCGGTCCTGGGTGATGAGGGCCCATCCCAGGCATCCCGTGATGTACCTGCATCTGTGGCATTCCTGGAAACGCAGGTGCAGAAGTTAGTAGGAGTATTCGCAGTAGCGTTATTTGTTATCTGCCCTCCACCTGAAGATCCCAGGGCAGGTGCAACATCAAAACACAACGTTAAGTTTGAAACTACAGTGGACGCTCGGATTGCGAACGTGATCTGTGCAGGAGGCATGTTGGCAACCCACAGTGCTGCGTCTGCGCATGCGCGGGTCGCAATTCGGCACTTCTGCGCATGCACAAAGTGTGATTTAGCGCTTCTGTGCATGCACTGAAACCTGGAAGTAACCCGTTCCGGTACTCCCAGGTTCGGCGCAGTGCGCAACCCAAAAACGGGCAACCTGAAGCGTCTGTAACCCAAGGTTTGACTGTACTTGCAATTGCAAAAATAAGATGGGTTCTGAAAACTCAGACGTCAAGAACCAGGGTGAAGAGGTAAGTCTTCAGCATTTGCTAGAAGCTGTGCAGTGAGGGTGCCAGACACACCTCTGCGCATCTTGAAAGACCCTTAACTATTTAGCTCCATGGTGCCTCAGGGACTGCCCGACCCCTCATATCCCTGCTTAATCACTAAGGTCTCCGGGGAAGTTGCTGTTGGTGGTTCCCCATGACCCAAGTGCTGTGCTGCAGTCAACATCAAGGGCCCAGTTCCACAAAATAAAAAGGGAATAAAATAAGGAAATAAAAAGCCTCCATTGGGCACCAGAAGTTCAGCAGGTAAAGGGCCTGTTTGACCTCAGCTGGAAGTGAGTTCCATAGGTCAAACAAGCCTGCGCCCTCCTGACATTCCAGTGCCCAATGAAGATTTTACTCCAGCAAGCAATTTTAACTGAAGTCTGGTTCTATGATTTTAATCAGATTGTATTCTTTATACAGTCGTACAGTGGTACCTCTGGTTACGTACTTAATTCGTTCCGGAGGTCTGTTCTTAACCTGAAACTGTTCTTAACCTGAAGCACCACTTTAGCTAATGGGGCCTCCCGCTGTGCCGCCAGAGCACGATTTCTGTTCTCATCCGGAAGCAAAATTCTTAACCCGAAGTACTATTTCTGGGATAGAAGAATCTGTAACCTGAAGCGTATGTAACCCGAGGTACCACTGTACCTTGGAAATCGAATGGAATCCGTTACGGAAGTCCGTTCGACTTCCAAAACGTTCAAAAAACAAACTGCGGCTTCTGATTGGCTGCAGGAAGCTCCTGCAGCCAATCAGAAGCCCCGTCAGACGTTCGGCTTCCAAAAATAGTTCACAAACCAGAACAGTCACTTCCGGTTTTGCAACGTTCAGGAGCCAAAACGTTCGGGAACTAAGCTGTTCGAAAACCAAGGTACGGTTGTATTGTACCTTGTTAAATTGCTTAGAGACTACAGTAAGCAGCATAAAAATTGTTTAGTTAAAATGAAAACAGTAAGTGCCCTAAGAGGAAGGCAGAGGTCCACTGCAACGGAGGGTGCTGTGGTTATTTTGCAGAGAGAGAGTGAGGAAGAGTTGCCCCCAAAGGCAAAACGTACCTGGATGCATCCCACCTGGAGGGAAAGGATGCGGGTGGGGAGGGTGTGCCCCTCCAGGAGCACCTCCGGAAGGCGGTCCTGGGGCGCCGGCGCCAGGCGGCATGGGTGGGGGCGGCATGGCTGGCGGCATCCCCGGGGGCATGGCTCCTGGTGGCGGCACTGGCGGAGGGAACGACCCAGGTGGCGGGATGCCTGTGGAGGGCGGAAAGGAGAACGTTAGGAGATACTGAAGGAAGAGAAACCCTGAAATTCCGCACAACGAAGATCCCACACTGTTGAAAGGAAAGGCATGTTCATAAGAGCGTAAGAACAGTTGGCTGGATCAGGCCAATGGCCCATCTAGTCCAGCATTCTGTTATCACAGCATAGGAGCCAACTCCTAGGCCCCTACAATAAAATATTTGTGGGGCTGGGCCCCCACAAAGTTGATGGACATTCGCATTCAGATGGGTGTGTGATCAATTATGCTGGGCGGGGCTTACCTGGGCCCCCACAGTATTTTATTCAAGTTCGCACCCCTGTTTCAGTGACCAAGCAGATGCCCATTTTGGGAAACCCAGAAGAAGGACCTGCGCAGAAGACAACTCTCTCCTCTCCCGTGGTCTCCAGCGACTGGCGTTCAGAAGCTGGAAACCACAGGAGCAGTGGAGACAGAGCAGAGTCCTTGTGCTAGAAGCCATTGATAGCCTTCTCCTGCTCCATGAATTTGTGCGATCCTCTTTTAAAGCCATTCGTGTTGGTGGCCATCACTGCCTCCTGCGGACACAAGTTCCACAGTTTAATTCTGTGCTGCATGAAGAAGTTCTTTCTTCCATCTGCCCAGCATCTTCCTATGATATCTACCCAGGTGCACAGCTACAACAGCAAACCACCAGAACAACAGAAAACTGGTGTGCCCTTGAGCCTCGGCCTTGCCAGTTAAAGCGAAGCCTACCACCCAACAGATCAACCTTGCATCCAGGCAATGTGACCAATAGTCAGAGGTTATGTGAGTTGGGGTCCAGATGTCTCCCACTCCCACGAATCCCTGCTTTAACACTGATCAAACCTTGTAGCCGTTTCAGGTAAACTATGTCAGAGAAGTAGGGGCATTCATCTTTCATGCGGTAACACGGTTTTGGGGTAACTATAAGAACATCGTAAGATGACCTGCTGGATCAGGCGGGGGGGGGGCCTCTGGTCCACCAGCATCCTGTTCTCACAGTGGCCTATTGCCCCCTAAGAAATCTCAACAGGCTGCTCTGCTCCTAGAGAGTCCATAATCATAATATTATGATTTATACCCTGCCCATCTGGCTGGGTTGATGGATCAGGTCAAGGGCCCATCTAGCCTAACATCCAGTTCCCAAAGTGGCCAAACAGATGCCCCCAAAGGGAAACTGGCGAGCAGGACTGAATCACAACAGCACTCTTCCCTCTTGCGGTTTCCAGCAACCAGCCACTGACAGCATTAACCTCCATGACTTTCTTTAATTTGGTAAGTAGAGCCTGGCTGCTGGATCAGGTGAGTAGTATTTACAGGACCGCCTCTCCTGGTCTGCCCTGCAGAGGACCTTAAGGTCCATGAATAATCATAGTTTAAGAGGTCCCTGGCCCTAAGGAAGTCAGATTATCCTCCACCAGGACCAGGACCTTCTCAGTGATGGCCCCGACCTGGTGGAATGCTCTGTCCCATGAGACCAGGGCCCTGAAGGATTTAACTTCCTTCTGCAGGGCCTGTAAGACAGAGCTATTCAATTTGAACTTAGCCTGATCTTTTATTCCCCTTCCTTCCCTCCCCCTCCCCTTTTTATGAAGATTCCCCGCTCTGGGATCCCACAGCTAATTCTCCCCTGGTCTCCTCGCTGGCCCAAATAGGACTAATTTAGCCAGCTAGCTCTGGTGCTCATCTAATGTTTATTGGATGGATTCCCCCCCCCCAATTGATTTTCAAATTCTGAATTTATTGTTATTCACGTTTCATACTGTATTTTATGCTGTTTTTTGTTGCATCAATTGTTTTAAATTTGTTGTTAGCCGACCTGAGCCCAGTTTTTTGAACTGGGAAGGGTGGGATATGAATAATTTTTTAATCATGATTATTATTATTATGTCCAGCCTCCTGTTCTCACAGGGTCCAAATACCCCTAAGGGCCTAGGAGCCTAGACTGCCTGTGGATCTGGAGGCTCCATAAGTACATCAGAAGAGCCTGGCTGCTGGAGCAGGCCTGCATCACATTCTGGCAGTAGACAACCAGATGCCACAATGGGAAGCCCAGAAGCAGAAACTGAGCTGAAGAGCGTTCTCCCCCAGTGGTTTCCAGCTCTTCTGAAGTGCTACTGCCTGTGGAGGCAGAACATTGCCATCATGGCTACCAGCCAACTCTCAACATTCTCAAAACCAATGAGACAGAGACACAGGGAGAGGGATTGGGGAGAGAGACCTAAATGGAAAAACACCAGCCAGTTTAGAATATCGAAAGGAAAAGAGGGGGCTGCATACCTGGCGGGGTGACACCTGGCCCCAAGGTGGTGACGACCGGGGTGGGCACCGAGGGCGGGGGAGGGGCGTCGGCGAAGAGCTGGTGGGGCCGGTCAGCCTGCGAGAGGGGGTTCTGGGCGGCCAGGAGGCGCTCGGCCGCTGAGCCGTGCCTCTCGCCCTTGGAGTCCTTCTTGAAGGCGTAGGAGACGGTGATGGGGCGGTTGCACAGGTACTGTCCGTTCATGGCCTCGATGGCGGCATCGGAGGCATCGAAGCTGGCAAAGTTGATGAAGGCGTACCCCTTGGAGTTGCCCGTGTCCGGGTCGCGCATGATCTTGGGGGTCTGGAGGATGACCCCGAAGGCGCTGAACGTGTCGTAGAGGAGCTTCTCGTCAATCTCCGGGTCCAGGTTGCCGATGAAGATGTTGGCACCCACGTCCAGGTTCTTGTTGTGGGCCGAGGCCTTGTTCACCCGGATCGGCTTCCCGTACAGCTTGATCATGTTCATGATCTTGATGGCGTAGTCGGCATCCTCCTCGCTAAGGAACTCCACAAACCCATAGCCTGGAAGGAGACGGATGAGAAAGACGCTTAAAACAGGGTTGCCATGAAATCAAGTCTAAGCGTCTAGTTAACTAATAACGAATCACGTATCGACGCAAATTAAGAATGGATAAGTATGAAGAAAGCTGGAAGGAATACTTAAGCAATAAGGTGGACAGTGGTGGGAAGTAGGAGGAGGAGAGATGGGGAAATATTGTTAAAAAGGTGTAGTTATGGGTATATCAGTACTCAAATCTGAATTGTTAAATTGTGTTATTAGTGTTATTGTGGTTTTTGTTGTATGTTTTTTGTTGTTGTTGTCTGTATTGAAAAAATGATTAAATAAATTTTTAAAAAAAAGTCTAAGTGTCTGCTCAGTAATTATATCGGAACTGAGGGAAGATGGCAGCTGCCAGCAGTGAAAAGACCTTTGGGTTGATTCGGCAGAAACACCAGTGCGTATGAGATTACCAGAACCCTCCGAACTTGAAGCATGGGAAGACCTATTAAAAATTTATAAATTGGCAGAATATTTGGATTACTTGATATGTATATGTATAATCTGGAATATTTAATGTGATTTGATTGGATTGTTAAAGTGGAAAATTTAATAAAAATGAATTTTAAAATAAAATAAAATAGGGTTGCCAAACAGTGAAAATCTGGACAGATTGTAGAGGGGTTGTTTTTTTTAGCAAAGCTGTTGAGCTTTGGGGCAAAATGGCATATAAGTGCCACTTTTGAGCTGTTTTTATGGAAAATTGGCCAAAGATGGCACTGCCGGATTTTCATCGACATTTCCAGACAATCCTGGAGATATAGCAACCCTAGCTTAAAAGTACACAATGCAATGTTTGTGTATGAGGGCTGTAGACCTCCAAGTTCAACTCAAGAGCAGACCCAATGAAATTAATGGAACCTAAGCTAGCCACTAGGTTTCATGCATCTGCTGTGAGTAGATGGCAACTCACTGTCCCTTTACAAAGTGGTTCCCAGAGATGTTGGTGGGATTACCTGGGGAAAGGGGACCCGAAGGAGCCAAGGGGATGGCAGGGAGGTGCTAGAGGTATAAATCATTTAAGAAGCTGGTACCACTGGATCAAGTTCATCAGTTTTGTTGAATTAATTATTATTATTATTATTATTATTATTATTATTATTATTATTATTATTACAGCTACTGCTGCTGTTATATTTATACTCAGTCCTTTTTCCTGATGGGAATCAAGGTGGTTTACAGATAAAAAACCAAGGATTGCTAAAAGCATTGGGGGGGGAACCATCTTTAAAAAACAATTAAGCATTGATGGAATTCAAACTATATACATATATAAAATTTGTTTAAAACATACAAATAATTACAATAAAAGCAGCACAGCATCAGCCCTTTCATTAAAAGCAGTCAATTCCCCAAAGCCTGTTGGAACGGGTTCTTCATCTCCCTGAGAAAGGACAAGGAGGAAGGGAGGTCCAAAGTCTGGGAGCGGCCACCACCAAGAAGGCCCTTTCGCATGTCCCCACCTGTCAGGGTGGCAGTATTGAGAGTAGGGTCTCCTCCAAAGATCTCAAAACCCAGGCAGGTTCACAGGAGGGACTGTGGTCTTTCAGAGAGCTTGGACCTAGGCCATGCAGGGCTTTATAGGTCATACGCAGCACTTTGAATTGTGTCCAGAAACAGGCCAGTGGATCTGTTCTAGAAAGGGAGACGTATGTTCCTTATAACTGGTCCCAGTTAATTAAACTAAATAGCTTATAATTGGGTTTTCGGTAAGTGTGCAATTAATCGTAAGTGCTCTGAATTTTATTGTGTTATTATCTTCCTCGGTGTGACATGCAAAGCGCTATTCTGAATAATGTTGGAGAGCTAGTGTGGCGTAGTGGTTAAGAGCGGTAGATTCGTAATCTGGGGAACCAGGTTTGCGTCTCCGCTCCTCCACATGCAGCTGCTGGGTGACCTTGGGCAAGTCACACTTCTCTGAAGTCTCTCAGCCCCACTCACCTCACAGAGAGTTTGTTGTTGGGGAGGAAGGGAAAGGAGAATGTTAGCCGCTTTGAGACTCCTTCAGGTAGTGATAAAGCGGGATATCAAATCCAAACTCTTCTTCTTCTTCTTATAAGGTAGGGGGCACCCGGAATAAGTTTACGGAACCAGGGGGTGGTGGTCCCAAAAGATTCGGGAGCCACTGCTTTGCTGGGTGGGGGAGAGGGGTTATTTGCTTGTTTCAGTTTGCACTTTAAGGTGCTACTGGAAGGATTTTTTTTTGTTTTTTCAGTTTGCACTGTAAGCCACCTGGGATAAATATCACGTAAGGATATGCTTTAAATATAGAAATTGTCCCAGTACCGCAACCATTTGTACACTGTAATTATTTTTAAATGTGCATATTGTTTTTGTATATTTAGAATCGTTTTTCTCCTTTTCTTGTTTCGAGGTTGCAACTGTTTCATTTGTTTTATAATGACTTATTTTGTTGTTGCAGCCCACAGGGGCCTTTTTAAAGGGTGCGCTATGAAAAGCTAATTAAATAAGCAAACCTACAGGGCAGGCGCTCTGCCACAGCCTAGTGGAAGAGCACCTGCTCTGCAAGCAGAACGTCCCGGGTTCAATTCCCAGTGGCATCTCATGGTAGGGTTGGGAGAGAACCTCTGCCTGAAATGCTGGAGAGCTGCTGCCAGTCAGTGTAGACAACACTGAGCTAGATGGGCAAATGGGTCTGACTCAGGAAAAGGTGCACCTTATATGCACAGAAATTACTGACTATTCACCCCCAAGGAGACAATTCTTATGCGCGTGAGTGAACTGGACTTTGCTGCAAGATAGGTGGGTCCATCGCTGGCTCGTGGGCAAAGAAAGATTTATGGCTCAGGTTGGCCATCCTGGCTGACAACAGATGGGAACTGGAGTCCAACAACATGGAGGGTCCCATGTTACATCCACTGCTCCCTTGTTTCTCAACTGTGGGTCCCCAGATGTTGTTGGACTACAACTCCCATCATTCCTGAGCTCTGGCCTTGCTAGGGATGATGGGAGTTGTAGGCCAACAACATCTGGGGACCAACAGGTTGAGAAAGGCTGTCCCAAAACAACACGCTGGCTTCGCTCCGTGCTCTCGGCATCACTTACCTTGATGCTGGCCAGTGACTCTGTCTTTGGGCATGTGGGTGTTGACGACCGGACCTGCCTGGAGGAACAGCTCCCACAGGAGAGGTTCGCTGACCTTTTCGTCCAGGCCTCCAACGTACACAGTGGCATCTGGAGCGGAGAGGAAAGAGACACACACATCAGTTGCATGGACAGAGAGAGCAGGCTCTTCAGAGATCTCTCCACCAACTCATCCAAACGAATGCACTACAGGGGGGGGTTGGACTAGATGACCCTTGGATCCCTTCCAACTGGCCTATGCAATTAATGGACATATAAGCTAGACCTGTACATTGATTTTCACTTCAAGTACGGCTGAAGTTAGCTGCAACTTAGTAACATTTCATTTCGACGAAAGCCGAATTATTAGCAATAATTAGCATCCACTACTGCAAATAAAAATAGAAGCTTAAATTTAATAATAAAAACAAAAGTAGCTTTTAAGAGGCAGTAGTAGTAATAATAATAATAGCGCCTTTAATGTCACCCACACCATGCAAAACGGGGAAGCCACCCCAATGTAGACTGGCCTGACAGTAAGGTGATGATAAATAATAGCCTCACGCACTGGTGAAATCTTTATTATTAATTGTAATTAGCCTCTGCTGCTATTAACAAGATCAGCTTTAACTTCACCCACCCACTTCCACAACGGGGAAGCTCTCCCTGTATAGAGACTGTACTGTTAGCAATAATAATTAGCATCTGCTACTACTACTGATGATGATGATGATGATTATTATTATTATTATTATTATTACAGCATTTATCCCTCCCTATGCAAAGCCAATGGTCCTGCCACGCCAAGAGGGGAGGGGAGGTTTCTTTTGGGGGGCTCCAACCCATAATAGTCCCCCACTTCAACAGCCTCCGCCCTGGAGAAGGGGGAGCTGTCGGGACCTGCCCCCCAGCCCCAGCCCTCACCTTGGTTCCTCTCAGATATGGGCCCAGCCGCCATCTTGGCGCCACTTTCCAACCACCTCGCGCCCCCAACGCCTCAAGCACGACGGCCTCCCAGGAGCCGCCCCGCCCACCGGAAGCGGCGCATACTACCGGCGATCCCGAGGCGCCGTCGGCCATCTTAGGAGCGGGCAGTTAAAGGCGGGGGAGAGGAGACCGGACGTGACGTTGCGAAAGAGCAGGTCGGCCCTCGTCAGGTTTAAACGGAGGAGGTGAAACGCCCGCTCCGGCCGTGTTAAGGTGAAAGCGGCGCCGCCATTTTGAAAGAGGGCGGGCGGAAGTTGCGGTGCGTAAGAAGGTGCTAATGGAATAAACACACTCTGAGGTAATTCTAATATCGTGTCGTAATAAGAAGTATATTATGACACATATATATTATATTATTTTATATATATAGATATAGACACACATATATATATTTGTGTGTGTGAATGTCATTTGTTTTTTCACCTCAGGATTTTCTCCTCAGAAATTGTTAGTTTTGCGACTGTTACTATATTCCATATACATTACTGTATTTGGAGTATAGTACGCAGTATCATACGTTAATTGTACGCAACAGGAAGCGATAAGGTCGAAATGGCGGTTGGTTGGGGACGTCACTTCCGGTACCATCCCGAGCGTGGCGTGTCCATTCCCTCCCAATACAAAACACACGGCGAGGGAGAGAAAGCGGCGCTCCTTGCGCGCAAGAGAAAAAAAGGCAAAAACGCGGGCAAATCAGCGTCGGCGTAGCTCCACCTCGTCCCGCCCCTCCCTCCTGATTGGTCACTGCTCTCCAGCGTTCTAAACAGACAAGACTCTGTTTCCCCCAGATTTACCAGGAGGGTGAATTTGGGATACAGTATATGCACATATCAACAACCTCAGATATGCAGATGACACAACCTTGATGGCAGAAAGTGAGGAGGAATTAAAGAACCTTTTAATGAGGGTGAAAGAGGAGAGCGCAAAATATGGTCTGAAGCTCAACATCAAAAAAACGAAGATCATGGCCACTGGTCCCATCACCTCCTGGCAAATAGAAGGGGAAGAAATGGAGGCAGTGAGAGATTTTACTTTCTTGGGATCCATGATCACTGCATGTGGTGACAGCAGCCATGAAATTAAAAGACGCCTGCTTCTTGGGAGAAAAGCAATGACAAACCTAGACAGCATCTTAAAAAGCAGAGACATCACCCTGCCAACAAAGGTCCGTATAGTCAAAGCTATGGTTTTCCCAGTAGGGATGTATGGAAGTGAGAGTTGGACCATAAAGAAGGCTGATCGCCGAAGAATGGATGCTTTTGAATTCTGGTGCTGGAGGAGACTCTGGAGAGTCCCATGGACTGCAAGAAGATCAAACCTCTCCATTCTTAAGGAAATCAGCCCCGAGTGCTCACTGGAAGGACAGATCGTGAAGCTGAGGCTTCAATACTTTGGCCACCTCATGAGAAGAGAAGACTCCCTGGAAAAGACCCTGATGTTGGGAAAGATGGAGGGCGCAAGGAGAAGGGGGCGACAGAGGACAAGATGGTTGGATAGTGTTCTCGAAGCTACCAGCATGAGTTTGACCAAACTGTGGGAGGCAGTGGAAGACAGGAGTGCCTGGCGTGCTCTGGTCCAGGGGGTCACGAAGAGTCGGACACGACTAAACGACTAAACAACAACAACAAATATGCACATATGCAGTGGCTCAACCAATTGGGCTGCACGCACACCATACATTTAAAGCACCCCAAATCTTGGGAAGTTTAGTTTACCACTTGCAGAGCTACAATCCCCAGCACCCTTTACAAACTACAGCTCCCAAGATACCTTTGAGGGAGCTATGCATAGCTGTCAACGTTTTCCTTTTTTTAAGGGAAATGTCCTTATTCCAAATAGGACTCCTCGCAAGAAAAGGGAAAAGTTGACAGCTATGGGCTTTAAAATGTTGCAGTCCCATTGAAAAAGAGCAAGATTCTAGTCCTCACGGTGAGTTTTACCTTTTGTGCAGAAGCCTAGTCTCAAAACGCATTCCCACATCCATTTTCTTCTTCTTTGCATTTTTACCCCACCTTTTTCTCCAAGGAGCTCATGGTGATGTGCCCAGTTCTCCCTATCTCCTCCTTTCATCCCCAAACCAGAGAGACATCACCCAGATTACACAGCTAACGATCAATATATTTCCCCCGCTTAGCACAAACGCTTGGCTTGGGTGAGCAGCATAACATGAAGAGGGCACAGAAAATGTGCAGCATCGGCATAACAGTAGTTCCCCAAAGCCCATCGTAAGTTGGGCTTCCACAAATGGGACATATTTGGGCCTGAGGCAGAGATGTCCAAACTTTTTTCAAAGAGGGCCAGATTTGATGAAGTGAAGGCCCGTAATGGCCGACCAAATTTGTTGACCTTTTTTTACTATTGAGGTTGTTGAGCTTTCTTTATGATTTTACCCCAAAGTTATTGAGCTTTTTAGGATTGAAGTTGTTGAGGGTTTTTTTTTTTTTTAGGATTTTATCCCAAGAAATAAACTGCCACAGGGGACGGATTGAACCGACCGGCGGGCCAGATTTGGCCCCCAAAACGAACTTTGGACATGCCTGGCCTAAGGTGAGTCACACCATTTTCCTGTGCATGGCGGGGGGGGTGTTCCTGATTCTAGGGACATACGACAGATGGAAAAATAGGAGTGAGGATCTTCCAGATGACATATTTACTAAGAATTCATCCTGGCTTCTTTGCAGGGAGATTAGACGACACTGGCTATTTATAAAGGATTCATTCCGATGTGTTTCCAGGGAGGTTAGATGATGTGCCAAAGCAGATGTCATCCCACAATTTTGCAGTGTATTTCACATCTCTTTCATTTCCCTCAAAAGTTTGCTCTTTTAGAGAGGCAAGCTTGTTACTCCAGAGCTCACCATCATCCCCTAATTGTGCAATCTGGATTTGACCATATGTGATTGATTCTCGCCACCAGTGACAGTCTGGAAGCACACACACACACACACACACACATTTTATCCGCCGTATCTGAATAATCCTTCCACTTTAGTAGCAATTACAGAACTGAATTACATGAAGCTGAAGACGAATTTAAGAGCAGCCATGAGGCTGTCTCAGGGAGAGTGGTCGGGAGCAGAAGGCTCATCCCATCAGCTTTGCAGAAAGACGAGCTCCACTAGGCACCTGTGAACTGTTTATTTGCCAGTTGGCCTGATTTTCGTTTTTCCTCTTCCCTCCGTGGCCTTTTACCCTTGTATGTCGTAGTTACGGTATGTTTTGTTTTTTGTTTTAAAAAGGTTATAAGCCTGTGGGCACCGGGGACTCTTGTTTCAATTGATAGTGCGTAAGCCACTCTGGGAGACTTTTGGGCTGAAAATCCCAGTGGCAAATGCCGTAAATAAATAAATGAATCAACAAACAAATATATTTCCCCCAGCAGCAGAAAACCAGGTGCTTCTGGGAAGTCCACAAACAGGGCTTGTGAATGCAACAGTCCAGTGTTGTTTTTTCCTCAGCATCTGGGATACATAAAGATGGTTCTTTTCTTTCTTTTAATCTCGTGTCTGTTTAAGGAGAGAAGGTTGCAGTGTCACAAGCCCTGACCATATATTACCCCCTTAAACAGCTGTAGGACAGTTTGTAGCCAAAGGATGGGGAGTGGGATGCTTTTCCTCCAACTTACTAATGTCCCTGGGAGCAAATACATTTACAATTACCTGCAGAATTGTATTCACAAGGTACTTATTTATTTGAAATTGTTCTTTAGCTTAAAAACTGCTTGTTTCCCCCATTAGCTCTACAAGGCTTCTGGACCAAAGCTTATAAAATGGAAATGGAAACATTTAACAGCAAATATGTAACAGCAGCATTTTAACCCCCTTTGCTTGGGGGCAAAAGGAAAAAAAACAAACAAACCACATATCTTAAATGGAAATACTTTCCCACTATGGATTTTCTCCTGTTAGCGAGGGGAAAAAACACATTGAAGGAACACGACAACAAGACAGTGCAAACATAATATACAGAAATGGATGGAGACATATTAAGTTCCTAAGTACCAGCATCGCATTTCGGCGTTCCCAAGCAACGGCGTACCGAAGGACTCCGCTTTGATGATTTATAGATACCAGACATATGAAGCAACATTGAAAGCTGCCTAACACTGTTAATGAATTTCCAGGTAACCTGTTATAGGGGTGGGGGGGGGGCTCCTGTTTTTTAACAAGCCTCGGGGAAACCTATTCTTGAGTATGGAGAGGCAGCAGCAGCAGCTGTTTTACAGTGGAACGGACTCCCTTGGAAGGTGGCAGACTCTCCTTCCTTGGAAGTTTTTAAGCAGAGGTTGGGTGGCCCTCTGTCATGGATGCTTTATCTGTGATTGCAGAGAATTGGACAAGAACGGTCCTTGGAGTCTCTTCCAACTCTACAATTCTGTGATTTTGGGATAAAGCCCTCTAGAGGACTCTCCAACACATGCACACAGCTGCACCGTGTTCTTTCGTTTCTGAACAGTACACACAGCAGAAAATTCCACCATTTCTGCCTAGAGGCCAATAATTTGTTGGAGCAGACCAGCTCTTTTTTAATTCATTGTCCTGTTTGCAACCAGGGTGGTCCCTTTATTTAACCACAGGGCAATATCTCAGGCCAGTAAACAGGCTAGAGGCAGGGGATGGGATTTCTCTCACATACATAACATGCCATTTCTCAATAAGTTCTATATTTTAAAAAAAGCTGCTCTGAACATCTGTTTTGGCACCTCTTCCACACCAAACTTTTTTTTAAAAAAAGTGACTGCGGAAATGACCACTGAAAGTGCTAAAGAAGAACTGGGGTGTGTACGTACCCCAGAACTGGCCAGAAAATCTGGTTTACCGATTGCGAAAGCATGATTTCCCAGTTTAATAATAATAATAATAAAGCTTCCCGTCAGTTCTGTCCAGAGCTTTGAGGCCATTAGATTTATTGCTCAGCTTGGCAGGAAAGAAAAATCTGCTGTCGGGAGAATCCTTGGAGAATCCTCTTGAACATTTCACTTTCCAAAGTTTGTTCAAACTTATTTGCAAGCCCTTGCTGCAGCCTTGTGGGTGCAGATCTAATGAGGTTGGGGCCCGTTCAGCATTGGATCCCAAAGCATCAAAATATTGATTACTCGGCAACAGTTGAAAAGGAAAAGTCACCCCACCATCTCTGATAGAGGAGGAACAACAGGAAGGTCATTTCACTTCTATTCCCCTACAAAAAAAGAGCAAGATTCTAATACTCCAGGGTTGATGTATGGTTTTTTACAGACTGCAAAGGAAAGCTCACGCCAAACACTGCAGTCTAGGGACTGAAGGAGGTGCCGGTCCACTAGCCAATTTCTCGTGGGCTGCCTGACGCTTGCAAATATGCCTGGATGAAGCAGATATTCTGTGCAAGAGTCTTCTGGATGAGGCCAAGGGGACTCACCTAGTTCAGAATCCTGTTCTCACAACCAGATGCCTCCAAGGAACCCACACGTCGGATTTAAGCACAATAGCATTGCCCCCTCCTGTGGTCTCCAGCAACTGGGGTTCAGAGGCATTTCTTCCTCCAACTACAGAGGCAGAGCATAGCCATCCTGGATAGTAAAGGAAAAGGTAAAGGGACCCCTGACCATTAGGTCCAGTCGTGACCGACTCTGGGGTTGCGGCGCTCATCTCGCTTTATTGGCCGAGGAAGCCAGCGTACAGCTTCTGGATCATGTGGCCAGCATGACTAAGCCGCTTCTGGCGAACCAGAGCAGCGCACCGAAACACCGTTTACCTTCCTGCCGGAGTGGTACCTATTTATCTACTTGCACTTTGACATGCTTTCAAACTGCTAGGTTGGCAGGAGCTGGAACCGAGCAACGGGAGCTCATCCAGTCACGGGGATTCGAACCACCGACCTTCTGATCGGCAATTCCTAGGCTCTGTGGTTTAACGCGTCCCTATATCCTGGCTAGTAGCCCTTGATAACTCTCTCCTCCTCCATGAATGTGTCTGATCCTCTTTTAAAGCCATCTGAGCTGGGTGCCATCACTGCCTCCTGTGATGCTCTCAAGATGTTGTTGATCTCCAAGCCCCCTCGCAACTGCAGCAGCCAGTGCAACCAAAGGTTAGGGACGACAGCGAGAGCCGAAGCCCACCAACATCTGGAGGGAACCGCGTTGGCTACCCCACGTTTAAAGTGTTACGAGAACTAGAAATTTTGGGGACATATAGGTCAATACCCCTTAGTGGGTTCTAGGAGGCAGAGAGAGTAAAGCAGACTACACAGAGCTGGTCAGCCCATTCTGGGCTACCAGGTGCTTCCAGGCACTTCCAGGCAGGTGTTTATTATGGGATGGTTGCTCCTTTTTGGGTGGGGGCATCATGACAGTAACATCAGAATGCCAGCAGCCCATGTTATTCCCCGCTGCCCACCCCCCCAAAATTTAATCTGGATTAATGACACATCACACATTTAAGGCACATGACTTCTCCCAAAGAATCCTGGGAGCCGTAGTTGATGATCTTTAGCACACTTGACAAACTACGTTTCCCAGGATTCTTTGGGGGAAGCCACATAAATGTATGCGGCTTTAGTAAGTTCTTTAATTAAAAAACCAAACACAAACCAAACACCTGATGGCAGGCACCCAATATCACAGCGATATTAAGCCCCACGTCCCTTTGCAATCAAAACAGAACATTTGGGGTGAATATAAATTCAGGACAGAACCGCAGATGGGTCGATACGATCTGTTTGCTGAGCCGGGCAACTCCAGAACAGACACTTCCGATGAATCGGGGTGCGGTTGTCCAGCCACAGACATCAATCCCGTAGCCTGAGTGCATCAGTTTTCTCCCAAATGGGTAAAGATTTCCAAATGGAGCTCTGTGAAAATTGCAGGGGGTTGGGCTGGATGACCCTCGGAGTCTCTTCCAACTCGACGATTCTGCGAATCTCTGAAATGTGCATATTGCAACTGCTGTCTCTTCTTGGAAAGCGGGATGCAACAGGTCTGCATTGGATACGCAGAGGGCCTGCCCCGTTCTTGATGGGGTGGCAGGAGGGAGCTCCAGGCAGTCTGCATGGGCTCTGCGTGGAACGCTTCGGCCTTCTCAAGCATCGTGCCGCTAGCTTCCTCTGGCTTGCCAGTAGTTCAGCCGCTCTTGGAGCAGGTCCAGTTCCTCAGTGAGGCCCACAATGCTGGGAGCGAAGAGGCCGACCTGAAGAGAAAGGAAAGACGGCTGTTTCTACAAAAGCAACGCCTAAACCACATTGTAACAGCAGCAGACAAGACTTCCCAGCTGTGGAATTAATAATAATAATAATAATAATAATAATAATAATACATTTTATTGATACCCCGCCCTCCCCAGCCAAGACTGGGATCAGGGCGGCTAACACCAGGTAAAAACAATTGATTAAAATACAACTTAAAAAGAAGATTAAGTACAACATTAAAATGCAGCCTCATTTCAGTAGAAACTCAAATCAAAAACTTTTTGGGGATTAAAACGTCAAATCTTCACCAAAGGCCAACTATCCAAACTGGTCCTACGTGGGCCAGAAAAAAGCCAGGGAAGTCCCCAAATAGGATTTCCATCACAGAAGGAGAAAGGAAAAAAGAAGAGGGGGAGGGAATCAAATTGATTCCAAGCCAAAGGCCAGGCGGAACAACTCTGTCTTACAGGCACTGCAGAAAGAAATCAGATCCTGCAGGGCCCTGGTCTCATGAGACAAAGCGTTCCACCAGGCCGGGGCCAGTGTTGAAAAGGCCCTGGCTCTGGTTGAGGCTAATCTGACTTCCTTAGGGCCCGGGACCTCTAGGGTGTTGCCATTTATGGACCTTAAGGTCCTCCGCAGGGCATACTGGGAGAGGCGGTCCCTCCCTACTGTACAGGGGACTGCACGAGATGACCTTTGCGGGTCCCTCCCAGGGCCGTCTTAAGCATCTCTCGTGTCGTAGTGCAAAGATTCCTCCGCCCACCCACCCCCCATTTCCTAGAGTTGCCGACCTTTTATAGGGAGGACGGCGCTGCCAGCGACGCGCCCAGCTTTGCACGGCTGGAGGAGGCGGGCAGCAGGGAAGAGGCGGAGGCTGGACGCGGCGGCTCCCAGCTCAGCTGGACACTTCGCATGCCGTGGTGGCCACGGCAGGCGGAGGCGGGCAAGGGCAGCGAGCTGATGCCGGGGGGCGCTGTGTCCAGCCTCTGCCTCTTCCCTGGCGCCCTCCAGAACTTGGCACCCTGCGCCACTAGACTCTATGGGTAAGACGCCCCCAGTCCCTCCCCACTCTACGATTCTATGAAACAGCAATGTTTACATCTGTAACCCCGCCCATTTTTTGCCTAACACAGACACGTGACCTTTGCAAGTCACAGAATCATAGGGTTGAATGTGATCCTAAGGATCACTTGGTCCAACCCCCTGCAACGCAGGAACATGCAGCTGTTCCTTACGGGGATCAAACCTGCAACCGTGGCGTCATCAGCACCACACTCTAACCAACCGAGCTATCCCACCTTGAAGACTGGCAAGAAGAGGAGGCAGCCCCTCCTTGCTGGGAGAAAGGTTCTCCATCTCTGCGCTAAGCCGTAAGAGACTTGACGTCACCAGCAAGGACCTCCACTGGCTTGGGGGGAGAGGCTTTTCATACCCTCCTTTTAAATTGGCTCCCTTGTATAGGAATATATCAGAGCCCTGCTTGGATCAAGGAGGCCTATCTAGTTCAGCCTGCTGTTCTCACGGTGGCCAACCAAGTGTCCTGTTCAGAAGACCACAAGCAGGACCTGAATGCAGCAACCTCCCTTCCTGCAGTTTCCAGCAACTTGGACTTCAATGCGCTCTACGTGGGGCTACCTTTGAAGGTGACCTGGAAACTACAACTAATCCAGAATGCGGCAGCTAGACTGGTGACTGGGAGCAGCCGCCAGGACCATATAACACCGGTCCTGAGAGATCTGCATTGGCTCCCAGTACATTTCCGAGCACAATTCAAAGTGCTGGTGTTGACCTTTAAAGCCCTAAACGGCCTCGGTCCTGTATACCTGAAGGAGCGTCTCCACTCCCATCGTTCAGCCCGGACACTGAGATCCAGCGCCGAGGGCCTTCTGGCGGTTCCCTCATTGCGAGAAGTGAGGTTACAGGGAACCAGGCAGAGGGCCTTCTCAGTAGTGGCACCTGCCCTGTGGAACGCCCATCCCTTCAGATGTGAAGGAAATAAGCAGCTATCTTATCTTAAAAAGACATCTGAAGGCAGCCCTGTTTAGGGAAGTTTTTAATATTTAATGCTGTATTGTTTTTAACACTCGATTGGAAGCTGCCCAGAGTGGCTGAGGAGACTCAGACAGATAGGTGGGGTATAAATAAATTATTATTATTATTATTATTATTATTATTATTATTTAGAGACATATATTGCCTCTGCTCATGGCTGGTAGCCACTGATAGCCTTTTCCTCCATGAATTAGTCCAGTCCTCTTCCAAAGCCATCCAAGTTGACTGCCATCCCTGGGGGAGCAAGTTCCATAGCTTGACTCTGCACTATGTGAAGAAGTCCTCTTTTTAATCTTTCCTGAATCTTCCAACATTCAACTTCAAGTCCTGACGTTAGGAGAGAGGCAGACTTTTCTGCATCCACTTTCTCAATGCCAGGCATAATTTTCTAAGCGTCTAGCATCCCTTGTTCCTATTTCCACCCGCAGGACATTTGCTTCAGAACTCGTTTCCAAATCCCTGTTATTTATTTCCTCTTTTAATGAACTGGCGCAGGCTGGAAGGGGCAGGATACAGTGGCTGCCTAATAGACGTGGCGCATGCTGGCCTCTGGAGACCTAGCTGTGAAGAATCTGTTTCTAATCATGAGCTGCTAAAGGCAGCTATCAACATCAGGAAGTTGTCCTCCCTTCATCTTCTGGTTTCCCCCTCACTGCTTCCAAAACAGTGGGTCTGGCTGCTGCCGAGTCCTTAACTCAGAAGCAAGGTCTGCAACGGAAAGAGCTTTTAAGCTCTCTGCTTTGCTTGCTGGGCAAGACCCTTCGGCACGTGAGCTCTGGAAGTGCTGGGGATACTCTCTCGCAGCGCCAAGGGTTTTGTTATACGAGATTTTCATGTAAATATGGAACCCTTGCAACCGAAGTCCCCCCCCCTCCCTGCATAATATGTGCTTATACTGTAATAGGGACACGGGTGGTGCTGTGGGTTAAACCACAGAGCCTAGGACTTGCTGATCAGAAGGTTGGCAGTTCGAATCCCCGCGACGGGGTGAGCTCCCGTTGCTTGGTCCCTGCTCCTGCCAACCTAGCAGTTCGAAAGCACGTCCAAGTGCAAGTAGATAAATAGGTATCACTCCGGCGGGAAGGTAAGCGGCGTTTCCGTGTGCTGCTCTGGTTCGCCAGGAGCGGCTTAGTCATTCTGGCCACATGACCCGGAAGCTGTACGCTGGCTCCCTTGGCCAATAAAGCAAGATGAGCGCCGCAACCCCAGAGTCAGTCACGACTGGACCTAATGGTCAGAGTTTCCTTTACCTTTATACTGTAATAATGAGGGGGGGAAACCCTTTTATAAAGAATCCAAAAGTAGTTTGGACACTAGAGGGCACCACACAGCTACAAACCTCTACCTCTTGGGATTCCTACTCGTTAGCCCTTCTGTATTTAGAAGAGGCAGAGGAACCAGAGACCAAA